AATGATGCAGCTTATTTTTTTTTTTTTTTTTTTTTTTTTTTTTTTTTATTAAATCAACACAGTCCACGATATTTAAATTTTATTGAATAAAAAATATTATTTGTAGGTTGATTTAATAAAACACGAATAGCGTTGACTATATCACAAAAGTGCTAAAAAGAAAAAAAAGGAATTGGACGATCAATATCATGCGCGTAATCATTTTTCTAAGTTTTTTATTTAAATCGACCACTTTTATACTTGTATACGATATAAATATTCAATGAATCATTCACAGAATCATCCATATGGTTTTTTTGTATGGAACAGACACTTTTGGATCTCCTTTTAGAACGCTGCATAATAATTGGCGTTGTAATTTGGAGGGTGACCGCGAAATTACTTACATGTATATTACGTAATCAATGATCGAAGCATTGTAAATGTTTGTACCAATTTCTAAACACAGCAAAAAAGGAAAAAAAAAAAAAATAATAGAACAAACGTGGAAATGATATACAAAGAGAAATTCAATCATCCTTTCAAACGTGTAAACCGTCTTTCGAGGGTAAACACTAGACGTATCATATTATCAAAACAAAGTTGAACTTGATTCGTGGTTCAACGCATCCATACACTGTATATAGCCACATATTAGTATCCTTAAATAAAAACTATGTATAAAATTTCATACGTTGTTTAGGTTTTTAGTAATAGTTATTCAAAATCAGTTACATTAATTATATAAATAAATTGCAAATAAATTGCAAAAATATATTTCTTGTATTGGATTCTTTCCTTTCGCCTTCTCCTTTCGAATTCCTTACGTGCGATGATCGTTGATCAGTTTGAAAGGTTAGGTTAGTTTTTTGCAATACGAGGAAATTAATCACAATGACAGAGATAATGCGTTTCTTTTCTTTTTTTCATATGTTTTTTTTTTTTTTTTTTATTGAGAGTTGCGAATATATATACAAAGGATGGCGAACTAATAATAACTATTACATTAGAACCAAATAAACGAAGGTTATCATGATAGTATTAACGCGTGTTAATATTCGTTTAGATAACATAATGCTCGTAATGGTATGTGTATCGAATTTTTAAAAGATGTCATATGCCAAAGCGTTATTTATTTATTCTTATCTTTCTTCTTTTATATATATATATATATATATATGTATATGTATATATGTATAATTGCTTTGCGCCATATCGACACGAGTTCGAGACTTTCAATTCTCGATAAAAAAGAGCTCAAGATCGAAGATCAAATATATAAGTATCGAAAATCGCTGTATTGAAAAATAAAAGATTTATCGATTACCTTCTTAATCAGGTGGATTTTTCTTCTTTTTTTTTTTTTTTTTTTTAATGATAAAATTATTATTTTAGAAAATAAGTAACCACCATTTATTCAAAATTTTTTTCCAATTTTCTTTCTTAAATGAATATTAACGCATTATCGAGCAATAAATGAAGTTATAGTTTCACAAATTACGAATCGAGAGTTATTTACCGCTTTTCGCGATAAATTGTAAGTATGAAAAGTGAAAAATTTCTATTTCTCTACCGTTTAAGAATCGCACCCGTTTCTCCATTATCTTGTAAATTTGTGCGTTTCTTTTTTAAATTCGCGACAATCCGAATCCGTCTATTCGGAATAGAGCTAAGATTTAAATGGATGCAATTATTATTCAAGGCAGATATAAAATTGTGTAAAAAAATGTGAACACGTTTTACCATTCGTCGATCATTCGACTTTCGACAATATCGATTCGCAATCGTGAAACATTTCGTTCGAAATGATTTTGAAACGATCCAAATTTCTAAAATTTTCTTTTCTTTTTTGTTTTCATTTCAATCGTATTATAATATTAACGGAATTATCAAATACACCTTTTGAAAAGGAAATGAAAATAAAGTTTTAATAGAACAGATCGAGTCGTATAAAGATCGATATTGCGGATACGACGACATTGTACGAAAGCGCAATGGAACAGCGCAGAACGACATACCGCATTTAATTGGCGCTTTGAAAAAAATCATTGAAATTCGATCTTTTAATTCGCAAGAAACGTCGCGATAAAACCTAATGTATACTTTTTCTTTTCTTGCTTTTTCTTTTTTATTGCTTTTTTCCCCACTTCCATCGTTATAATAACATCCTCGACTCTTCATTTCATATAACAAAATATCTTTTCCTAAATATAAATCGATCGACCATTGATCGGCACATTTCAATCTCTATCAATCGCTTCTCCGATCTCCATTCGCTTGCTACTCGTTCAAAAAAATATTTCATCGCCGCAGAAACACCGTCGAATGATTTTTTTCTCTAATTTTTTAATAATTTTTATGCAAAAAAAAAAAGAAACAATATAAACATCAATACGATTAAAGATTAAATCGAATAATATAAGAAATAATATAATATTCATATTTACAAAAATTTGTCGATTTTCACGACAGTAAAAACTCTTTATTGCATTTCCCTTACGTACATGCCAGAGACATGCGCAACCACATCTACTGTCAGTAGAAACGCTATTATACTTCGTCCGACATTAATCCTTGGACATTGATGCTTCACAAATGTTTACATTGTAATGACTTACTGGCTCTTCCGTGAAATTTTTTGTAACATTAGAACATATAATCTACACATATAGAGATCTAAAATACTAAAAAAAAAAAATACAGTTCGATAATATTTTTTCTTTAACCTAAAAATCATTCGACGATTTTCAACTGTTCCTCAACTGTTCCTTACTGATAATTACACTTCTCATTTCATCATAAAAATAGAATTCTTAAAACTTAAACTCAGTTTACTCTCTCGCTTCTTACATTCTCTCCTTCCTTCTCCCGCTTCGTTCCTCTCTCTCTCTTACTTTCTCTACTTCTCTTTCTCTCCTACTTTCACATCCCTATTGCGTATCATCGTGCTATACATATACCAAGTAATAATATAATCATTTGCTGAGAAGTATGCAGTTGGTGTTGACAAATTTAAATATATTGTCGTTTTCATCATCGATATATCGATCTTTTTTGGTTCGGGTTTTTTTTTTTGAGGAGAATAAAAAAAAAAATATATATATATATGTGTGTGTGTATGTATATATATTACATTCGCTTAAATAATTCGTCATTGTCGCTAAAAACGTTGCATGTACCAAGGTCGATTTTCATTGCTACGATATAAATATTTTTACAATTTAACAATTCATTGACACAATATAGGCATACAAACGTAGAAGAGCGCGGACGATTAATAATTGAAAAGATTAGAAGGTAATTAATTTAAATGATCATGATATATCACCTCGATACATTCGTTATAACAATTATTATTAACGTAAAAATGGCGTAGCTGTGATAATTAACATTCACGAAAACTCACTGAAAAAAGAAAGAGATATATTTTAAATGGGAAAGTGCAATAGATACACAGACTCTTACAATAAACCTTAATATTTCGTTAAGCATAATTATTATTACTTTAAGAAAAGAGAAGGAAAAGAAAGTGTTTAGATAAACGCAATTAAAAAAAAAAAAAAAAAAAAAAAAAAAAAAAAAAAATAAGATGCATTCAAACGAAGGAACGCTCTCATCAAATTATCGAATAAATCGCGTACATAAAGCATACGTAACAAAGAGGGGACAATGTAACAATTATTTTACAATAACAATTGTGCTCCTTCACCTCGATTGCATCAACGAAAATGAAATCAAAAGATTGAGATTTCATTAATGACAGACAACTGTCCTATGAAAGACAATAAATAAGGGCTAGACATTAGATTACATTAGATATCGATTATCGAATAAAATCACTACTCTATGCATACAAGTTTTATCAACGTATTTGTTCCGCTTGTTAATAATTATTTTTCCTTCTTCTCATTCTTCTTCGCTTTCGACACCATAATAAAATTAACTTAACTTAATGAGAACAAAAAGATAGAAAAAGAAGAAAGAAAGAAAGAAAGAAAGAAAGAAAAAGAGAACTAGCAATAGTTTCGTCCTGTAATAATTGGTTATATAAGATTTGGAAATATAATTGCGACACGCACTGCACACAGCTCAGTAAATTACTTATCTCGCAATTCTAAACGCCATCGCCTGTCGATAACAATAATTACATTGATCATCGATATTTATCGATCGGTGATTTTACTTCTTTAGTTCGATATACATATATTTATATTTATATTCATATTTATAATATATATATATATAGATATATCAAAAATATCCTTAATAAAATAGAGCATTTTAATATGTATAACGTACCATCAAGTACTTTTTTTTTTTTTGTTATCATAATTTTATCCATTTTATATATATAGCATATAGCATATATATATATATATTTATTTATTTATTTATTTATTTATAACGTATTAGTATTATATATATTTAATATACATATAATACCCCACGCTACTATATTCTTTCCTATTCGCGCACGTGCAATGTACAAATATGCTGTTCATACATGTGCTGCGTGCGCCTATGTGTATACTTCTTTTTTACGTGTCGCCACGTGAACTTTTTTTCCAGATTAGATTACGCATACCTTGAGTTCTGGCCTTCTACCGTTATTTCGCATAACGGTTACGTCGCTTCAACCGTTTTCCCACTTTTTAGTAGCTTGCCTTTATTCTACGCCAATTATACATATTTAATTATACATATTTAAAAGTTTTTAAAAACAATTATAAAATCATGTTGCAATTGCTACCTGTTGTATCAAAATCTATTGAAGAATTAAGCTATAATATTAACTTTAGTAGTAGGAAATTATTATATTAACGGTATTCACTGTACGTCTAAAGATATTATAATATATTACAAAGATTTTTGTAAAATGGTAATGTAATATATTATAATATATTAATTTAAAAAGTGTTCTAGATTCTTGATATCGATCAATACTGTATTTTTTTTTTTTTCGTTTTATCAATAATTATTAATATATAAAATTTGTTGTTTAACAATGATTCGATACACTGAAACGAATGAAGCCGACAGAACACTCGAAAGACATTCACTCATTCGCGTAATACAAAAACTATCGATCCGTCGTTCATTTTCGATCTAGTTAATCGTTCTAGTTCGTACACAGCCAAAATTCGAAATTTCAAGTTATAAAACGATTGTACATAGGTATTTGAACCGATTTCCATCTCCCATATGAACAATTTTGGTGAATGCATTAACTAGTGCACAGGTTATGCGATAATTAAAAACATATAAATAATAAGCGAAATGAAATTACTTAAATAACAAATAAGACACGAAAAAAATTTAGAGTATTTTATTGGTTAGCAAATGATATATAATGGAGGAGAGAGAGAAGAAAAAAAAAAAAAAAATGTACTTTCTTCTTCAATTTTATGCAGATATATTTAAAATTTAATAGATTTAAATATTTGTCTTTCTTATCGATATTAATCGATTATAAAATAGACTTATTCTCGGATTGCGTAATTTTAAATCTTTTTCATCATGGCAGAATTGTACTATTAAAAAAATAACACTTTTTATTCTCGGTTAATCTTTTATCTGTTTTTCGAACAAAACTTTTCTTTGTAGTAGAAATTCGAATTTAATTTTAATTTTTTTTTTTTTTTTTATAATTTTTTCCAATATTATCTTTTCAAGATATAACCTTGAAAAAAAAAAAAAAAAAAAAGAGATGAATTGAACGCACGCGATTTGTACATTTGAAGGATAAAAATCTTCTATTTCAACGATCGAACGATTTGCTCTTTTTTTCACGTGGCGACTTTGCA